CCTCTTCCTCCCTCTTCCTCCCTCTTCCTCTTCCTCCCTCTTCCTCCGTCCTCCTCCCTCTTCCTCCGTCCTCCTCCCTCTTCCTCCGTCCTCCTCCCTCTTCCTCCCTCCTCCTCCATCCTCCTCCCTCCTCCTCCCTCTCTTCTTCCTCCCTCCTCCTCCTCCCTCTTCCTCCCTCCTCCTCCCTCTCTTCCTCCTCTTCTTCCTCCCTCTTCCTTCCTCCTCCTCCTCCTTCTCTTCCTCCTCCTCTTCCCCCTCCTTCTTCTTCTCCTCCTCCTCCTTCTCTTCCTCCTCCCCCTCCCAGTTCCCAAGGATGATCCAGGGCCTGCTCCTGGTGCCAATGGTGCCACCTTCAGTTCCCCCTGATTTCCCCTCTCCCAGAGTTTGAGCGGCGACAGGCGAGACCCCTGGATGCCCCCCTGCCCCGGGACGAGGAGGGGAACGAGTTCCAGCAGAAGCTGGAGGAGGCGCGGCCGCCGCCGCCACGGGTGCGCCCGGTGCCCTCGCTGGTCCCGCCCCCGCCCCAGACCTCCCTGGTGAAGTTCGTGGGGAACATCTACACCCTCAAGTGCAGGTTGGTCCCCTGGGGAGTGGGATCCTCTGTCCTGAATCCGTAGGGATCCTCTATCCCAAAACCATAGGGATCCTCTCTCCTGAATCTGTAGGGATCCTCTATCCTGGATCCATAGGGATAGAGGGTAGAGGATCCCTGTAGTTCCTCTGTCCTGAATCCATGGGGTTCCCCTGTTCCAAATCTATATGGCTCCTCTGTCCTGAATCCATAAGGATCCAGATCCATAGGGATAGAGGGTAGAGGATCCCTGTAGATCCTCTGTCCTGAATCCATAGGGTTTCTCTGTTCCAAATCTATATGGCTCCTCTGTCCTGAATCCATAAGAATCCAAATCCATAGGGATCCTCTGTCTGAAATCCATGGGGATCCTATACCCTGGATCCATAGGGATCCTCTATCCTTAATCCATAGGGATCCTCTACCCTGAATCCCTCTTTCTGGGGACTTTGCCCCCATTCCCGACGTGGCTCCGTGTTCTCCGTAGGTTCTGCGAGGTGGAATTCCAAGGCCCCCTCTCCATCCAGGAGGAGTGGGTCCGACATCTCCAGCGACACATCCTGGAGATGAATTTCTCCAAAGCGGATCCGTTCCGGAGCGACGCGCCCCCCGCGCCCCCCGACCCCCCGCCCCTGGCCCAGGCTCCGTGACGGAGCCGGAACATCCTCGACCCCCCTTTCCCACCTCAACA